TTCATGACACTTTAAATATGACTTTTGAGGTCTTACATAGTTTGCTTAAGTTGAATTTGCACCAAATTGCCTTTGTCTTCCAAAATTTTACCTTGTTCTTCTTAAAGTAGTATGACTTTCCTTCGTCTCCAATTCGAACTCAAAAATGTACACCACTCAGTTAAACAGGTTTAATCAAAAATTCAATTTTTGAGCAAACAATAAAGTCGAAAGGAAGCATGCTAATTCCACTTTCTTCGAATTCTACTAACTAGGTTAACCCGGTTATGCTTAATTATTTGATCTCTACATTCTCTTTATTTGTTATTGGTTCCCAGAGTTGAATGATCGGTCTACTGTTCAAAATTCATGTAATTACACAAGGAAGTTTCTTCAGAAGTCTTCCTTTCTTGTTGAGGATTAGTGTGGTTTTCAATGTTTTGGCCTTCCAGTCAAAATAGAGAATTGGCTGTTGCTCACAATGTGGATTGTATGTTTGCTCATATGGATTGTACTGTTCATCTGTGCTTGGTAGTCTTGTAATATCCATAGTAATCCAAAGCGTAAATCATCCTTATCAACTTTATTTACACCTTGTACTTGAAATCCTGGTAGTCCACATAGTACTCCCAAAGGCAAGCCATCCTTGTTAATTTCATCAAGTGATCATATCCATTCATTTTAAAAGTGTCGTAGGGCAAAGAAATCCCTCATAGGCATGCTATCTTCATCAATTCAGGATCATACATCTCATATTTTTGTAGTTCTCTTGCTTCCTTTTGTTAATGAAACCAAGAAAAACAAGTATATTAGTTGAAAAGGAAAAATAAAAAGAAAAGAAACAAGAATTTAAATAAAAACTTGTTTGATTAATTTTACAAGTGTTCAGACCGTGATAAGTAATAAAGTACTATCAAATTTTATTCTAATCTAGTTTCAATCTAAATGAATGTGGTAACCTATTAACAAATCAATAGTTTATATTCTAACTAAGTTATCCTAAACTAATCTAAATTAACCTAACCAACCTAATTTGTAAAGAATTTTTGGGATTAAGTTGTTAGAAATTACTATTTCGCTTAGGCTATTTAATATTAATTCAATCCAACACTATTCAACCTCAATTTCATATGTGTTAACAATCGAATTAATCAATTTTAGTTAGTAATTTATATCGAGCAAAACTAATCCTATTGGCGTTTATTATGTAAATACATATAGATGTAAAAGTAATCAATTGTACTAATTCAATTATGATTGCATAAGTTATAACCATCTCTTGATTTCTTCTAAAACTTATATCACTTATTGCACGAACTAGATAAATAAATCTTCTCTCAGTCTCATTATCATTCTTAAATCAAGCAATCGACGATCAAGCAATTGAATTTCAATTAAATACACAATAAGCAATTAATATACAATTAAAGTGCATGAAATCGATTGAATTAAACAAAAATATTAAATTAAGCTACATTGTTCATCCTAGCAACTAATCATTTCAACTTATAATTGTAGAATTAAAAAGTAAAAAGATTAAAACACCATCGTGTTCAAAAAATAGAGAAAAATAATCCAAGAGATAGTTGTTTTTGGCACCCAATATCCAACAATGAGTATTCGAACTCTTCTTGGATGATTGTAAATCTCCAAGACAATTATGTTTTTCAACCTTCAAATTTCAAATTGAAATACAAATCTTAAGGATTCA